CACCAAATAAAACAGATGTGGTGATGTGTTCATGTAATCCCAGGGCTCAGGAAGTAGAGGTAGGGGGATCAGATGTTCAAGGTCATCCTTGGTTGCACAGTGAGTGAGTTCAAAGCCAACTTGGGCTACATGAGACTGTCTCACAAAACAAGACAAAACAAAACAAAACAAAACAAAACAACAACAACAAAAACAACAATAAAAATTCCATTCCATTGGTGTCACCTGGACTAAAAACATTAGGATTCAGAACTTTCAATTCTTTTTTTCTTTTTTTTTTTTGTCTTTTTGAGACAGGGTCTCCCTGTAGCCCCAACTGGCCTGGAACTCACTATGGAGACCAGGCTAACCTTGAATTCACAGAGATCCACCAGCCTCTGCCTCTCAAGTGCTGGAATTAAAGGCGTGTGCCACCACACTTGGCTTCAATTCTTTTTATTTTTTTTAACATATTATTTATTTTATGTGTTTGTGTGTATGCGTGCAGGTGTGTGCTTCCCCTGGCCTGTGTGTGGAGTTTCTCTCCTTACACTGTATTGAGGCAGAATCGCTCATTGATTCAGCTGTTGGATGTGCACTCCAGGCCTATTGGCCAGCAAAAGTTTCTCCTGTCCCCACTTCCCATCTCACTGCAGAAGTGCTGGATTACAGATGTAAACTTCTACATTTTTAGAATTCTCTGAGGTCCTCAGCACAAGGGGAGAAGAGAAAGGGTAAAGGTGGACCCATGCATGGTACCTTTGGGATGGGGTGCTAGACCACAGTATGGGACCCAGTAAACATCTGGTTTTATTACATACCTAAATCCTTGACTTACTGGAGCCTTTACCCCCATTTTATAACTAAGAAAAGCAAGTGCTCAGATGAATTCTGCCAACTGTCACTCAGGTGGTAGCTGAGCTGGGATTTGAAGCTTGGCTTCTTCCATGAAATCTCACTTTGACCTTCAGTTTCCTCATGCATAAGAGGATAATTAATCTCACAAGAGGTACGTGATAGTACTTTAAAAACAAGATGACTCAGCCAGATAAAGACGCTTGTCACTAAACCTGATGACCTGAGTCTGATTCCCAGGGCTCACAGGGAGAGAGAACCAATGCCTTCAAGCTTTCCTTGATCTCCACACATGCACCATAGCATGTACATGAATAAATAAATAAAGTAATATACTTTTAAAATGTTTATTAAGTGTGGCTGGTGCTCGATGAATCACACTGTGGGAAGCAACAGAATTGGACAGAGAGCTCCTGGTAGAAGGGGACAGTAATCAGTTTCTGCTGGAGACAAACATAATTATGTGGGGCTGGAGAGATGTCTCAGCAGTTAAGAGCATTGGCTGCTCTTATATAAGACCTAGGTTTGAATCCCAGCACCCACTTGGCGGCTAACAACCGTTTGTAATTCTAGTCCCAGAGTATCCAACATCCTCTTCTGACCTGTGCAGGCATTGCACTGGCTGGTGCACTTATACACATACATGCAAAACACTAATATACATAAAATAAAAATAAATTTAAAAATGAAAAAAAAAATCACCTTATAATTGTGTGGGTGGGCTGGGTATGTGGATCAGGGGTCCATGCTGAAATTCCTCAAACCGTTCGGGTGGAGCAGCATGCCAGAATGTGCCCTTTATCCTCCAGATGGTCATATATATTTCAGTTGGGGAAGATTAAAAAGTTCTGGAGGTGGGCTGGGGAGATACATCAGCTGGTAAAGTGTTTGCTGTGCAAGCATGGGGATCTGAAATCAGATTTCCAGCACCCATGTAAAAAGCCAGGCATGGCAGCAAGCAACTGTAACCTCAGCGATAGGGGACAGAGACAGGCAGATCCTGGGGGCTCACTACTTTCCAGTCTAGCCTAAACTGCAAGCTCTGGGTTTAGTAAGGGGACATTGTCTAAAAAAAAAAAATATTGAGAGTGATAGAGAAGAGATCCAAAGTCAATATCTGGCCTCCACAGGCACATGCATAGGTGAACACACCTGCATATACACATATACCACACACTTCTTATTTCATGTTCATGTATATTTTTGTATGTGTATGTATTTAAATTGTGGTAAAATAAACAGTAAGTTGCTAGTTTTCTAAATTGTATAATTCAATGGCATTAAGTACTTTCACATTTTGCATACCATCACAACCCACCTTCAGAAGTTTCTTGAAGTCTGATATAAAAGGTAGAAACTACAAATTAAAATTAATAGATTTCAGCCAGCAAGATTTCTTAGTGGGTAAAGGCACTTGCCATCAAGCCTGATGATCTGAGTTCTCTCTCCAGGACTCACACAGTGGAAGGAGAGAACTACTCCCCAAGTTGTCTTCTGACC